TACTTAGTCCCGCCCAAAGTGATCCATGCGGAGGCCAGTGAGTTCATGGCTCTAGTTCAGCGTCTCACCGGCAAACCCGAGGCCGAGGACGTTCGGGACTTCACGCCAGGCCGTCGCAGGAATATTCCAGTGAGAGTCAAGGCCCGGCCGGCTATAATGACTCAGTTCATGAGTAACGGCATATATCCTTCCTCTTCCTACGTCTCCGAGGGTAACTGGTTGGTTAATGGAGGTCATCGGAGCCGGAGCGTTGACTCGTCAGATAGTTTTATAGGCATGTTTCAGTGACTGAAGAAGATTGAAGCGATTGTTAATTATATATTTGATGTTGTTGCTCATTCGATAATCTGAAGGACTAAATTATTAACCCGTTAAATAAGTTTTATTTTAGTCATTGTGTGATCAGTTTTAGTGTTTGGGAATAACAATGATTTTGACTATTTTCTTTATAATTAGAAGGGTTAACTCTTAATCCTTCTAAATAGGAGTATTAGTAAACCCCTCATTTTGAGGGGTTAACTCATTTTAATCCCTCTAGAGGGGTTAGTTTAACCCTTCTATATTTTTTATGCTCATTTTGAGGGGTTAACTCATTTTAATCCCTCTAGAGGGGTTAGTTTAACCCTTCTATATTTTTTATGCTTGACAAATTATGGAGGGTTAACTCACTTTAACCCCTGTATAGATAGTTTTATAGACATGTTGCAGTGATTGAAGATTGAAGTGATTGTTAATTATTTATTTGATTGAAGTTGTAGCGTATTGATAATTTGTGTTTCGTTGTATACTTATTGTTTTATCCGCTAGACTTAACTATTGGTAGCTGACGCAGCGCGGAAGTGATAACCTCGGAATCCACCAAGGGTGTTCTCTGAATCCACAAAGAACGATCTTCGAATCCACGAAGAACTTCGAATCCACGAAGAAAATATTGAAAAGAGAAATTTTATTGATGAAAAGTTATTCTCCTTTGGGGTTACATAACTCTTCTTAAATAGAAAAACAAATAAGACTCCTAGTAAGACTAGAATTATAAAAATAGAAAATATCAAATAAGACTCCTAGTAATACTAGAATTACAAAAAAATATAGAAAGTATCAAATTCTATCCTAAAAAAAAAGACTCCCTATAATTTACTAACATGTTGTGGTATTCATTTATTGTATTTTTATGATTTTAAATTTATTTTTTATTTGTGCTATTTGTAAAAATTTACCTTACTTTGAACTTTGATATCTCAAAGTTTTTTCCCCAAAAATCTTCAAACTTGAGCGAAAGTGCGATGCCAGCTCTGTAGCAACCCTGGCCACCTGTGCAATTGACTGCTACAATCGCTTCGACCACAAGATCAATATTGTAAGTACATAACAATTAAGTTACAGTATAAAAATATCGATCCACAAGGAAGAAGTGTATTAGAAAGAAATTCCTAAGTGGATTCTTGAAATGTGTAATATAAAGGTTGGTTGTGTTGAGGGTTTGTCACGAAAAAAGGCTAAAATAAGAGGGAAGAGTGAGAGGAAGAGAAAAACAAATAAAATTAAATCAAAATAAGATGCAAATAAAAGATGTATGAAATCAAGTGAGAAGACTAGCAATCTAGCATTGAACTCACTAGTTAATTTAAATTTAAATTTAAGAGTTATTCTCTTTTTATTCTCATATCGTTTAGAATTATCAAGTATAGACTATCAAGTTGCTAAAGATAAGCATAACCTATCAAAACAAATTCAAGCAAAAATACTACTCATGAAAAGAAATAAACAACTTTATAGTAACCCTAGAATTGAAAAAACATAAACTATCAAATCATTTAAAATAAGTGAAGCTTACCAAATTCTTCTTCTATTAACTAGTTCTCTAGTTGATTATCCTAAGCAAAATCATTTTAAGCACAAAGAGAGCAATTCAAAAACCCAAAAGGAAATTAAACTAGTTTGATCTAAGCCTAGAATTTCTACAAGAATCAGCTACCCATATTGCAAATTAAAGCATAAAATGAAAGAGCAAAGAAATAAATTTACGCTACAAAGCATAAAAGAAGTCGACGTCGACACTACAAAGTAATGAATATACACTATAAAACATATAAATAAGAATAGAATTAAAGTCCTGAATATGCTAAAGAACGTAAAAAAATAAAAAAAAATAAAAGAACGAAATGATTACACATTCCTTCGGACATGTGGTTGTCTATACTCGGGAGATATCGTAATTATTTTATTGTAATATCTCTCTTTTGCGCAGAGATATCATAAACAGAGTCTTGGAGCAGGGGGCAGCTCAACCTGCAGTTCACCCTTCCATTGATCTCTCTTTACCTCAAATCTTTGAAAGTGCTGCTTGTCGCGGGCGCTAGGAAATCACTACAATATTAATGAACGTCTTTGTGACTTAATTCTGCTCTCAAGTTGACTCATCAAATAGCTTTATGAACTAATCGCAAATAAACCTTCTATAGTACTGTGCTTTTGAAACTGGATTCGGATCCTCTCCACTATCTAAAAAGTAGTTAAGGGATCACTACATAATCATAACCATTAATTATCTAGTTAGTGGTTGTGATTTTTTTTCTTTGAGTGTAAATTAGGAATGAATGCAATACACGGGGCTATGATGAGTGTTAGATTTAGATTGTATTACGACCACCTACTAAGTAATCAATGATTGAGATCAAAAATAGTGGTATCTCTACTATTTTTTTTGTAATGGAGAGGTGAACTTGTTACCATTTAGTTTGATTTCGGATGGTAGATTTATTGAGTGAAAGTTTTTCACTCCTCCGAATTTTCTAAAATGGTTGTTATATTAATATACTATATATAGTGCACTTTAGTTTATACGATAAGTTTGCGCCTGTAGCTCAGTGGATAGAGCGTCTGTTTCCTAAGCAGAAAGTCGTAGGTTCGACCCCTACCTGGCGCGTAAATATAGCATTTTATATTTTCTTTTCTTTTAAGAGCACCATTTGTTTTTTTAAAATTTTGGGGAAATTTATTTACGGACCCATTTAGACTCCGTCCTCTTTTAAAAAAAATCAAACTTCGTTAAATTCTTCATTGAACCTTTTCATTTTAAATCACATTATATCTATATTTGTTAGTTTGAGGCCCTCTTGTAAACATACTGAAATTTTGCTCTCTCTGATGGCCCTCTTGTAAAGGTAGATCATTTTGTGGTTTTTAGCTAATATATTCTTCTAATATTGAACAAAATTTTTAATTAAGCGCCGTTTATTTAAGTTCAAATCCGTTTATTTTTTAAAGAAAAGTTGGGAAAGCTTACTTAGGCCCTCATGTGGACTTCCTCCTCTTTTGACAAAATCTTCATCAACTTAATCTTTTCATCTTAAAGCACATCATATCCATATTAAACTTGAGGCCCTCTTGTAAACGCAGAGTAATATATAAGCATTTTTTTTCCACACTTTCTTTAATATATTGTAGATAAGAGATTCATTATGAAATTCCTATAGGTATTATGAGAGGTAATCATTTAAATGAGCGTAAGACCTTTCCATCAAAAAAAAATGAGCGTAAGACCTTTTCTCAAAAAAATAAAAAAGGGGCATAATACAAAAAATGAGTAATAGAAAGTAAACTAAAAGCTTTGAAAACTTTTTTATAGAAAGATTTACATGAGCTTTTAAGGAACCAATCTTATGGTAGGCTTTAGATTATATTTCTTTATAGGTATGTATAGGTCATAAGGGGCTTGTTTGCAAATACAAACGGTTGGAGGCGTTTTGTGCAAAACTGCACACACGGGTTTAGTGGCCCAGATGACCTCGTGGGCCCCTTCCGGATCCTCGGAAGTGAGCGGAACAAGTAAATTTTAAGGGTTAATCTCGAACTGGTGGTTTCGTCCAGTAGCGAATATATTTCCAAGCCTGCTTAGAGATTGGATCTCTCTCTTTTGTTTTCAAGCCTATTTTCTTGAAAAAAATTTTAAGTATAGATTAATATTTTTGATCGATTGTTATATTAAACAAGAAGAATATTAAGCAGCTGAAGCAAGCGCCCCTTTTCCGTCCATTAGGAGAGCAGACTATATGACTAACACCAAAATCTTGATGTTTCATATACTTCCGAACTTATTATATTGTTTCCCTTTTCACTTTTCACTTCCCGCCGTCGTTTCACCGTCGTTTCAACAGTGCTTTGAGCAATATTATAATCAGCGACGAGACATTTCTCACTTATTTCAGGCCCAAAAGCTCTGAAATAGGTTTTCTTAAAAATCTAACGTGTCACCCCATTTCAGCCCCCCATTTCTTTAAACCACTTAGCGAACCAAACTCCAGAATTGGAAATGGGTAGAAATCAAAATACTATGTGGCTCTGTTGTCAGATTTCAAATCCTTCATTTCTCTCTTTTTTTTTAGCAAATAAACAGCCCCTTAGCGAAGTTGCTTTCATGAAGATTTACAAAGAGAAAAGATTCATGTAAATGGTAAATGGTTTCCTTTACACAAATGAGATAGAATTAATTCAGATTACCTCGAGAAACACATCATTACGGATGAGGAGTGATTCCCAAACTTCCGTGTTTGTTTGATATATAAGAGTGTTTAGATGTTATCAATGCTAATGTTAATTTGCAAATCAATTCTAACCATGAGGGAGGGTAACATCATCTTCTTTTCGTATTCAAAGTTGATCCGTGTGCGTTAAAAATATGCTGAATAGAGTATTTGGATGTTGGAGATTTGATATGGTGTTATATTTCCCCTTCGGTGCTCATACATGTTGATCTGATTATAGAGCTATGAATAATAAATATCATTTTGCTTTTGCTGTCACGCGCTCATACTATTTTGCTCGAGACTGCACCCACGTATGGTCATATAGTGTTGTGTTTTGCTATTACAAAGCTGTGAACAATTGTCTGTTTTTTTTTTGTTTACTAAATTTTAAAATTTTGACATTTGGCTTAAACTAAATTTATCTTCAAAACCCATCACGTTAACATGTGTCAGTGTACCACAAATCATATCAAATACATCAAGTACCAGCATTATTCGTTAACAAAAATAATGATAGCACTTTGGACCAGGAAACAAAAGAATTGGAGAAGATCAGGAAATATTAAAGATATGAAACATATAAATCAGTCTACAAAGCGAATACCTCTCTATTAGGTAGGTGGTCTCTAAACATAAAACAAAGTAGGGGGGGTGTTAGTTACTTCTACAGTGAACACGAGGCCTTACTTCTCAATCAGCCATTTTGCTAAAAGAAAAGCTTACCGCCTTTTTTTTTTCTAAGTTCACACCTCCTCGCCATTTGCTGCTTCTCGTTCCTCCGCCGCAGCAGCCATTAGCTCATCAAACTTGTCTGATTTGGCTAGCAAAATCTCTATCTGGGTCCATAAATGGGGTCTGAATTAGTACCACAGACCGCATTTGTTTGCGTATTAACATGCAAGCCATCTAGACAGATGTATGAATATACCGACCTTAGCTTTCTGGATGGGTCGCGCTCTGGATTCGTCCTTCATATCAACTGTAGAAGTGGTGATTTCTGCAGGAGAATCTTTCGTAAGAAAAAGGTATTTGAAATGAACTAGCTTCCACATAAAAGGGAAATGAGAACAGAATCTTACTCTTTTCAACAGAAAGTCCATTGTTCTTGAGAATCTCGGCAATTGTGACGACTGTCGAGATGGCTGAAGGGAAAACCAAGTTTCAGAGATGAGAAAACCAATAGTACGTGTAATTATATTCTTGAAAATTGTATCATATGCTCTTCAACATAACATTCAAAACTTTCAGTTCAGTCTCTGGAGAAAGAAAGAAGATGGTATTCAGCCTTATATACTTTACTACTAAATTTCTGATTTTGCACTTCATCTGCAAATTCAACATTAACAAGCAGTCAATGAGTAAAACACATTTTGCTGCTCATGCTTTAAGTAAAGCTACCCTGAAGTCTGACTATAATATTGAACCCAAAGCTCAGCGCTTCAAATGCATGCCGTCTCCTCATGATGCATGCGAACGTGAGCGTAATAACTGAATGTACATAAAGTATCTAAAACGATTTTTTTTTATAAAAATCAATTGTGCGCAACAATATGAATGCTACCAATGACAGTTCTTTCTTTAATACTAACTTATAAGGTATAATAGTGATTTTTTTAGAAATTCAAAACCAAAAGTAGTTTGTTCAAGCAAAAGAGGTAATTTCAAAAAAGAAGCAACAGGTTATGGTGAATATAGATCACAAACGTTGATCACGTATTGAAAAAGAATGATCACCGTATGCCACGCAAGATACTAGTAGTTGTTACTACATAATATCAACATGTATTAGACATCCTTAGCCAGTATTGGCAATATCGATCAGTGAGCATATAGATCAGAATGATATGGTGAACACATGAGGTATCACCAATACTTTCAACCTTGCCCTCTACATTGTTTAACACTGAAATTTCTTTGTATGTTGATGTTAGGTGGAATTACATCGTGTGCTGCATAATTCAACAGTATTGTTGTTCATGATCTTGAATTAAAGGAGGCATAGCTCGCAATTCTTATTGTTTTGCAATTCTTACTGTTTTAGCAGGTGAAGTAGCATTATGCTGTATCAATAAGCGTCTAAACAAAATGAATTTAATATGTTTTCAGCTCCAGAAAATACAATGCTTGGAAAATAATATGATTTTGCATCTAAAATATAACATATTCCAGTGAGTAAATGTATCACAATTTTAAAACAAAAAAGTTGAAAAACAAATAGTAGCTGATTTAGGAAATCCAGCGACCCCGTACTTTCTGTTTTCCTTCCTCAGAATAGCATGTAATAATCATTGCAAAATCCCAAACTTCCAGTAGGTAAAACTGCAGTAAGTTTCTAAAAATCTGTTCGAAATCCAGAATGTAACTTGGGAATTAAAAACTGAAGGTGAAAATATTGTCTATTATGAATAAAACCTGTGGTAACTCTTTATGCTAAAAAATTTAAGGAAAAGTAGGTCTGTAGAAAAACAAAATGAAAAAAAATAATACAGTCTTGTTTATGGCTGCTGTATTCTATAAGCAAATGATGGGGGGGGTGGGGGGGGGGGTAGGTACTTGATAATAAGCAGGGATTTGATATGCAATGTATATTATAGTGTCATGTGTTTATGATGAAAAGTTATTGTAAGGCTCGTGTTCCGCCGTTGTAGTAATTCGGTGCCCTTGAATATTTCTGTTATAAATTGAGATAATAATTTCTATTGATTATAGATTTCATCAAATATTCCATCAAAAATATTATTTTGTTTGACTTTATTGTTGGGATGTTTTGTGTAAAGAGCCCCAAACTAATGAACTTCTGTTTTATATTCCTTTCTACCTAGAGTTCACATAAATAACTCCACACAATTGGCCTAGAGGTTGGGCCTTGGGGTGTTGGCTCCTAAGGCCAATGGTTGATCTGTGTCTATGACATGTCTATCCTCAATTTCTAATTATTAAGAATAAGCAATACAATACTTGTGCTATTCACCTAGCCTGGACTACGAAAGTGGGACCCAAGCCCTAGGGCTTATTTGGCTAGTCCCAAATGAAGGTTCCTCACAACACATTAAAAACACATAAATATAATGTAAGTGCAACTACGTGAGCACGTATCCTTTTATTAATTCAGTCAATCAAACGAGTGCAGACCAATGTGCTTTTTCTAATTTAGTCCATCACAAAATCCAAACTTGATTGCAATCGTCCACTTTTTGGTTTCGACTAACACTAATTGTATCCTATACCGCGGATTAGATATATGATCAATTAGATCCTTACATCATACTTCTGCCGACCCTACTTTTTTTTCTGTACAAAAATTCCAAAGATAGGTGACCGAGAGAATAGAAAGAGAGGGATCTCTATCATTTGTGTTTCATCGGTCTCCTCATCTCAAACAGGAATCAATGGCTGCCATGTTTTTGCTTGAGGGATAAAGCTCAAATTTTGCTCAAGGAGTCATTAACATCCGATGTCATATCTGATTCCGACCTAAGGCTAGCATGGAACTTACTTATTAATTCCTTTGAATCCTCTTATTCTCTGCACATTATACATAAGCCGCAGAACCCAAATTATATATCCTTAATTTTTGTGTTCTATTAAATATTTGAACTTTTTATATATCAAAGTGTTAGATAGAGATCAAAAGACCGAGGAAAATTATATCGTTAAGATTATAATTTTGATAAAATATTTCAGATAGTTATTTTTGTGCTAGAGTTTAACCTCGCACGATATGTTTTATACATTTGACCTTGATCACAATTTGTCGTTGTATTGGTTCTTGGACTAAAATTTTAACATTCAAACCTTAGACCCCTTTCCTCCCATAAGTGTTAAAAAGTTGTACTTTTTCAACCCCTAACAGCATACAAGAAGATACGAGAAGACTGAGCAAGATCAGTGAAGAAACGGCGTGGCAGTGAAGTCGAGCAGCCGTAGCGCGACAGAGATAGCTAGCTGAGCCTTATTTTCTTAGATTCTCTACAAAACCGGCTTGCTCTATTTTCAGCTGACTATCACTTCATTTCCAGCCTGCTAATTTATGTTTTAGCTTGGTTAGTTTAACCATGTAACTCAATTGTCTTCTGTTGGGCAATTTGAGCCGAATGAGCACAATTGAGTCGGTCAGGTGGTACGGTATTTTAAGCCCGTTTATATTTTGTATTGGCATACTTTTGCTACATGATCTATTAGTGCAGCTGGCTGTCTAAGACCTCTACACTATCTCTTTAAGTATTTAAGGGTACAAAGGGTGTATCATAATTTTTGACCTGCAAAGTTGTCAAACTCTCATATATGAGGTCTACATTATACTTTACAAGCTTATAACTTTGCAAATCAAGGGGTCTAGGGTTAGGATGTCAAAATCTTAATCTAGGGACCGATACAAAGAAATATTATGATCACGTTCATATATTATAAAATTATCATATGAGACTAACTTTAGCACAAAGATAATTATCTGAGATATTTTATCAAAATTATAATCTTAGCAATATACTTAAACCTACATTCCACAATCTTCTAATTTCTATATATCAATTCGATACATGAAAAGATCGAATATTTAATAAAACATAGAAATTAAGAACATGTGACTTGGGTACTAGAGAATGTATAATGCGTAGTGAATAAGAGGAATCAAAAGAATTTGATAATCAAGTTTGATATTTGCCTTAGGTCATAATCAAATCCGACATCAGATATTACTGACTTCTTGAGCAAAATCCAAGCTTTATCCCATGAGCTAAGATCCATACTCTTCCATGGCGACCGTTGACCATTGACTCTTGCTTGATGAAGAGAGTGATAAAACGTTGATGATGGAGATCCCTCTCCCTCTCTCTCTCTCTCTTTATTCACTCGGTTTCCTCTCTATATTTTTCGAACAGAAAAAGTAGTCGCTAGAATTATAAGGTAAGGGTTTAATTGATCATATATGTAATGCACGAATAGGACTCAATTGGTACTGGGCCGAAATCAAAATTGGACTTGGCTAATAGCAAACAACTACAGATTCGTAATAGACAAAACTAGAGAATGCACACGGGCCTACATCCATTTGATTGGTTTGACTAATAGAAGAATATCTGCTCACTTAGTTGCACGTACATTATATTTATGTGAATTTTGTAGATAGAAATATAAAATAGAAGTTCATTAGTTTGTGCCTTTTTACAGAAAACACAAAAACAATGTAGTTAAGAAAAATAATATAAATTGTTGGTTCATTTGATAAAATTCCTAATCAATAGAAATTATTATTTCAATTTCTAACAGAAGTATTCAACAGCGTTGGATTGCCGTAACGGTGGATAACGGGTCTTACACCCTACTCTCTTAAGAAAAGTTTCGCCCTCTTATATATACACTAGTATATCGAGACGAGGTCCCACACATATGTTGTAGGGGAGCAACTTGAAACGAGTTTCTAGCCAGTAAAGTCGCACAAATTTGGTATAACTTGGAATGTGTAGCATAACAAAGTGTACACTAGTGCATACCCACAACCAAATACTTACAACTATAATGTTACCTAATAGGATTGGATATAAACCGTGGTTAATCAAAGTGTACACTAGTGCATACCCTCAACTATTTCATGCACTGTGGTTAATCAAGCTAGATATCAACACAATCCTTGTAACCATATCCGACCCAAAAAAACTTTTCTTTTTTGTTTAATGGAATCAATAGGTTGCATAGTCAAAGAACAATTGAATGTTGCGCTACTTATGATGCACTTTATTAATACAGTTAATTGTTCTAAAAAGCAACAAGTCTCATGACTATGAAAAACATTAGTTTTATTGATTATGAGTTTAAACTTGTACCAAGTCCATCATAGCAAGCCACTACTTTAAGGTTGTATTTAATTAGAAATAGTTGAACGAGAACATTTACAACATCATGTAGGGTTTGGACATTAATTGAATCTCCAGACTCCATGTTGTTCTAACTATATCCAAATTTTAATATATATGTTTCATTGAGAATGTTGTTGCAATACCAAAAAGTTATTGCAAAAACGAATAGGCTAAAAATATAGGAGTTATTGCAATCAAATTGAGGTGTGTTCCAACAACTAGAGTTGGAAGTGCATGATGTAGTAATACATTTATCGTTCAAACAGCTCCTTACTAACACACCCACA